TTACATAATCCTCTGGGTTCACCATTTTGTCTTGGCTGCCAGGAAACACAGAGCTACATTCAGTATTCATGAAAACAACAGTCTTAGGCCAGGTATCCCTGCTCCTTTTGCTTTTGCTTTTTTAAAAAATATTTTCTTTATGTTTTAGTCATATTCAGTTTTTTAAAAATTTATATTTGAGAATAGGTGGGCTATAAATGACTATTTCTATAAAAGAGGATTTAACTGGAAAGCCCAGAGAAATTGATTGTTAGCATTTAAAGGAAAACCCAGTTATTTATTTATTCATTTATTTATTTATTTTTAGAGGCAGAGTCTCACTCTTGTCACCTGGGTTAGAGTACAGTGGCAGGATCATAGCTCACTGCAACCTCAGACTCTTGGGCTTTAAGCTATCCATCTGCCTCAGCCTCCTGAGTAGCTAAGACTACAGGCATGTATCACCACATCTCTTTTGTAGAGACAGTGTATTGTGTATTGTTATGTTGCCTAGGCTGGTCTCAAAATCTTGGCTCAAGCGATCCTAACCTCCTCAGCCTTCCAAAGTGCTAGGATTATAGGTGTGAGCCACTGCACCCAGCCCCAAAATATTGTACAGTAAAAGTTTTGACATTTATTTTTATTAATTTAGCATAGAGTTTACTCAAATTCTGGTTAATTGCAAGTTTATTTATATTGTCCTAAGTATATGCCCTCATCACAAAAATATATAAAATGAGCATCGTCTTGACTTGCAGAAAGCTTCTGAGACAGAAGCTTTTTTCTAGAGACAAGAAGCCTGGCCACACATCTGACCCTCAAATAAATGGGAATTTTATATTGCAGAATATCAGTATAAATATCTCCAGATAGCCATGCTCTGGCATCTGCTGAAGATTTCTGAAGCAGATTCAGATAGTTACTTAAAATTAAATCCGTTATATAATATTTAAAAGCCAAACTTTTCAGTCAGTTTTCAAAAGCATTTTTAGTGTATATCTTTTACAATTACAAAATTCATACATGCTTTTTGGAAAATACAAAAAAGTGTAAATGACCAAGAATCAGCCACAATCCCTAAATTAAGCACTGTTGGTCTGTTAATACCTTTCTCTCAGTATTTTTTCTTTTCATATGTAGTTCTAATATAGTTGAGATACTACTGCATATATTTTATTTAATGGGCATAGAACATTTTTTCATGTTATTAAAAATTTATTCATAAATATAATTTTTAGTGATATTATTCCATTGTGAATACACATTAATTTATTTAGCCTGCTGCAGAACATTTTAGATCACATCCAATTTTTTTATTTTATTGAACCATCTTGTGACCAATTTTAATTCCTTCCTTGGTGTGAGTCCTTGGAGGGGAATTAATAAGTCAAAGGAAGCCAGGCACCATGGCACATGCTTGTTTATAGTCTCAGCTACCCAGGAGGCTGAGGTGGGAGGATTGCTTGAGCCCAGGAGTTTGAGACCAGCCTGGGCAACATAGCAAGACTCCATCTCTGAAATAAAATAAAAAGATAAGTTAAAGGATATGACTATTTTTATGGTCTTTGGTATAGTTTTCAGGTTTCATAAATGGCAACATATCTAATATTAATTTGTCTCCTTGATTATTAATAAAGTTGTGCATTTTGGCATTCATCTAGTTATATTTGAATTATTTGGCCAAATCTTTATCATAGGTTGGTAAGACAGGTATTAATCACTTGTTTATTGATGAGAGAGAGTTGAAGTTCAAATAATATGTTCAAAGTCACAAAACAAATAAAAGGTGGAGTTTCAATTCAAACCCATGCTCTCTTTGACACCCAAATCTAGGTGCTTTGTGCTAGGTCAAATATTAAAAGTCAAAAGCCATTTAAATATCAATGTACCATCACTTGAGTTTGCAAGAATATCTAGTGATAATATCTAACGGTTGACATCTTAATATGAAGCATTAATTTCCATTCATACTATGATGCATCAAATAGATTACCATAATCTAATGGTAGAAGTTAAGGATCAAATGGTATCAATTGGCCAGGTAAGGTGGCTCAGGCTTGTAATCCCAGCACTTTGGGAGGCCGAGGGAGGAGGATCACCTAGGAGTTTACAACCAGCCTAGGTAATATGGTGAGACCTCATCTCTGCAAAAGATAAAAATAATTAGGCTAGCAGGGTGGCATGTACCTGTTGTAATCCCAGCTACTCAGGAGGCTAAGGCAGGAGGATTGTTTGAGCCCAGGAATTTGAGGCTACAGTGAGCTACGATGACACCACTGTACTCTGAGTACAGTGAGACTATGTCTTAAAAAAAAAGGGGGGGGAATGGAATCCCCCTCCTCACTCCACCTTTGATTAAAAAATATATATATATATGTATGTATATATATATGTATATATACACACACACACCCATAAACTATATTCTCAGTTTTCTAATACGTAAAGTAGCAGAAATGGACAGAAAGTTACAAAGTGACCTCTATCACTTTGTAGGGCTGCTAGACTTGGGTATATGAATGTGGACACAGGAAAGAACACCACAGTTCATTAGAGGACAAAGTCCCTTTCTATTCTGTCTTCCAAAGGAAAAACTTTTCAAGTTACTGGAAAGCTGATTCCTTTCTGGTATATTAAATAAGTATTTGTATTTTTAAAGAGAAATTGTAAAGACTGAATTCCATTCTAAAGTGTTTAAGTGATTTAAGAATGTGGCTCATTGCCTCGTCTATGTCACTTGAATTGTCCATCTGTCTCTTGGGGGAGATTAGTAGAGGCTTGGAACTCAATTTTACAATTCTGAAACGTGATTTTTATTCATTTACCTAAGGCAGGGTTGGCGAACCTGCAGCCTTAAGGCTTCATGTGGCCTTCTAGATCCTTAACTGCAGCCTTTTGACTGAGTCCAAATTTTGCAGAACAAATCCTTTTCATAAGAGGACACATGTGACCTTAAGGCCACAGGTTCCCCACCTCTGACCTCAGGGATAATCTAGTGCTAGAAAACTATTTTATACTAACCATAAACTAAAACCCACTACAATGGTAAAATGGAATAGCAGTTGGTAGTTTTAATATTATGGAATATATCCTTATTTCAGTGACCTGAATATTCTCTTCCTTTTGCCGAGTAACTTCCTGTCACTCATGTGCTTCAGAACTTGAGTAAGTCATTAGAATGTACTTAGTGAGCAAGATCAGGGTGAGAGGTACCACATGGCCCAAGGGAACTGTGTAAGTAGATTAAAACAGAGCCTACAAAACCTTATCCCCATGTGGACCTTTCTGTTTTCCTCAGTATGGACACATTTACAGACTATCTCTTAAGTTGTATTATTTCTTCAGGTAACTAATACTCACATAACACATTCTAATCATAACTAACATCAATTTCAAAGTACATTTTTACATATGATCCAAAATCACTTTTTGTGAAATCTTCCTGTTAAATCACATTTTGTTTCCTTTTTATTGAACTGCGCTGAGTTACTCCACTAAAAAAAATAAAACTTTACTAATTCTTATTAATTGGGAAATTGTCAGCCTAAAGTACAGAATCTTTTGTTAACTTTTTATTATGAAAATTTTTAAACATATAAACCAAAGGTTACCAAATCCCCATGTGCCCATCATTTCAGTAATTATCAACTAATGATTAATCTGTTTTCATCTAAATCTCAGCCTCTTCCCTTTACATATTATTTTGCAGTAAATCCCAGATATCATATTAATAGTATTTCATATTCATGAGTATTTTGGTATAGTATCCCTAAAGGTTTTTTAAAAGCCCATATAACCACAATACATTTTGTATCTTTAAAAATTAACAATTCCTTATCCAGTTGATATTTGTATTTCCATCTACCTTGTGAATATTGCTTAAGTTTTACACATTTGTCTTACAGAGTTTCCCATAGTCTGGATTTTACTGATTGCTTCACCATGCTGATATTTAACATGTCTCTCTGTATTCTCTGCAATTCAGTAGTTGTATATAAGGTCGCATTTTTAATGCAACCACATAAATGCAAAAAATCGTTTAACCTAGGTTAAGAAATACTACTTTATAAAGGGAGTTTATTTTTAATGATGATAAAAGACTGATAATTAATAGGGTTTTAGATATAAATTAAGGTTCCTGATTACTTGAGAATTCTCAAAAAGAATAAAGTATTCTATGATTTTAAAGTATTATTCTGAAAGAATTTGTTAAACAGAAAACTTCAGAGACATATTCTGACAACCCCTATATTAATTTGTGTCTCAAAGATTGTTCAAAAAGACAGCCATAACTTAACAAACAGCCTTTTATTTTTGTCGGTATTTCGTTAGAATATGTCAAAATATGTTCTGTTATTTCCTCTATTCTTAGTTCATTTTCTAAGATATAAAATTTTTTTCTGGGTCTCATCATTATCAAACTGCATATTCTCTTTTTTTTTAAACCAGTCAAATTTAGCAGTTGGGGGGGTTGTATACCAACTATAGTGACATTAATGTTAATAAGTTCTGATAATCCTCTACTATCGGACCAACTGCATATTCTCTTTTCTAAAATGTAGCCCTAGCCCTATCTCAAAAAACTATTATTATTATTTAAACAATACAAAAGACAGAATAAGTTGAAATTTGTAAGAGTTATAGAATTAGGAATTTTTTTTCTGGTCTTTAAAAATCAGTGCTATTGCCATAAACATAAAATGATTTTTATGCAATAAAATAATTACTTATAATTCACATAAAAAGTTAAGTGAGATGTGACTTACTGCTATCCAATCTGCAAAATAATTTTCTTGGTTTTTAAAAATCAGTGGTACTATTATGAACATAAAATGATTTTTATGCAATAAAGTAACTACTTATAATTCAGATAAGAGTTATATTTGGCTTTTACTGCAAACCAGTTTGAAAAATAATTTTATTTAAATAAATTTGTAGGACTGTTCATTCAGAGAATCTTTACAGTCATCCTCCTCTCACTGTACTGTGTTTATGTGTTTATTTCATTTTTCCCCATATAGCTCTTCAGTCAGTTACTTGCAGCACCCAGGATCAGAACAAGTACAGTTTCCTCGGACTACTTCACCATGCAGTTCCCAACAGCTTCAAGGCCACCAGTGTGCAGGTATGAATCAGTCACTGAAAAAAAAGTAATGGTTTGTCCATGTGATAGATAGTTCAGTGAATTTCCTTAGGTATTTCTACAAAAAGATTCTCAAGTCAAATGTGTGAGATATACCCAGGATATTTAAGGTGCCATGCTGAATCAGAGTAACACGTGTAGTACACTTCTTTCTTTTCTACTACTGCTATCTGTATTGTCCTTTCTCATAAATATTGATATCCTCCTTTCCTCAGCCCTCTTCTCATTACCGTTCCAGCTCTTCCTGAATGGTCTAACTTATTTTAGGATAAGTGAGATGTTTAGGACCTTAAGGTTTGTTTTTTATAAACACACAGCCCTAGTAGCATGATGCACTAGGGCTTAAATCAGGTTTCCATATCTAATAGTAAAAGTTTGTTAAGAAATGTAAAATTATTGCTGTTATCCTAAAGTTCAGAGATACCACTTAGTTGGTGAAATATGCTGATTTTACGGTCCTGATTTTCAGCTGTGCCACCACCACCACCTGGTGGAGGAATGGTGATGATGCAGCTCAATGTACCAAACAATCCACAATCTCGTGCTCACTCACCCCCCCAGTGGAAACAAAACAAATATTACTGTGATCACCAGAGAGGACAGAAGTGTGTGGAATTTAGCAATGTAGACAATATTGTCCAGGTAAGATGCTTTTGTTCATTATCATTTTGAAATTTAACATTTTTGACATATATTAAGACTGACTTATAAGACTTGACACTAAATTTGAAATCCTCTCAAGCAGATTAATAAAGAAGTATGACATGGGGCCAGAAAGAAGTAAAAATCATTGGAAATCAAGAAGAAGGGGGAGGGGTAAAAACCTAGTGAACAGGTACAATGAACACTATTCATGTGATGGGGAAACTTATGGCCCTGTCTGAAACATTATAAAAGCTATCTACGTGGGGCAGGCACGGTGGCTCATGCCTGTAATCCTAGCACTCTGGGAGGCCAAGGTGGGTGGATCCTTTGAACTCAGGAGTTCGAGACCAGCCAGAGCAAGAGCCAGATCCCATCTCTACTAAAAATTGAAAGAAATTACTTTACTTGGACAGCTAAAAATATATAGAAAAAATTACTGGGCATGTTGACACATGTCTGTAGTCCCAGCTACTCGGGAGGCCAAGGCAGAAAGATTGCTTGAGCCCAGGAGTTTGAGGTTTCTGTGAGCTAAGCTGATACCACAGCACTCTAGCCCAGGCAACAAAGTGAGACTCTAGTCTCATGGGGGGAAAAAAAAAAAAACTATCTATGTAACAAAAACATTTGTACCCTCTTAACATTTGTACCCTCTTATTTTGAAATAAAAAGAATTTTTCTTAAAGTTTGAACAGCCTTTATATTTAGACAATTTATTTCACTATTTAAATATTATTTGCCAACTTCTGCATATTCAATTTTTTTTTAACTTCAGAAGATAAAAATCAAAAGATAAACTACAGCTAAAAGTTGATAAAGAAAAAGACTCAAGCATTTATCCTGCCTTTCCCATATGAACTTCAGTGTAACCAAATAGTTGATGAGGAACATTCCTCATTCATAATCCAGTTAATAAATGCAGAAGCAATGGTTGAATTAGAAGATCATCATTTTGGAACCCTATTGAAATAATGGATCAAGAAAAATCATCAGGAGATGCTATAAATGTTAAGTAAAAAATTTACGGGGGGAACTTTGAAATGGAGGGCAGGCAGCCCTGAACCTACTGATAACTATAGCATCACTAAAAGCGGGCCAGTCAGACATTATTTGCCTCTTTATGTGGTATGGAAGAAATTATACAGCATTACCTAGGATGTACTCTTATCAGAAAAATTGAATCTGAATCTAATTAAGTCTCCAAGTCTAGCTACTGATTTACAGTAAATAAAGGAAGAAAATAAACAAATTACATGGTACCAGTGGGATATTTTACTGAACAAATTGGGCCTGTTTCTTTTACAAATAAATGACATTTTGAAATGAATAAAGACCTGTTTTAGGTTAAAAGAGACTCAAGAGGTATAATAATTAGATACAATATAAGGATTTTGTTTGGATACTGAACAGTAAAAAGATTTTTGAGCAAAAAGGGTATTTAAATATGTTACTCTTGTTATTATGGTAATAGTATTTGGTTATGTTTAAAAAATATAGAAATATTTATATACTGAAATGTTTACAAGTAAAGTGCTATAGTATCTGAAATTTGCTTTAAATACTTTAGGAAAAATAAAGCAGGGGTGATCACAGTTGAAACTGGATGAAGGGTACATGAAAGTTTATTATATATACTCTTCTATCTACGCTTTATCTGTATAATTGGGAAAATTTAGGAAGATCAGTAATTTGCAGTGTTGGCAAATTATTATATCTAGTTACAAGCTCTCTAGTACTCTCTTGGTGGTAATATAAATCAGTACAAACAACTCTTTTTGGAATGTGGTTTGGTGACATTTTCAAAATACAAAAGGTACAAAGCCTTTGATCCACAAATCCACTTCTGGAACTTAATCCAGTAAAAACTGTGGAACTAGGCTGGGTATGGTAGCTTATGCCTGTAATCCCAACACTTTGGATGGCTGAGGGGGGAGGATTGCTTGAGGTCAGGAGTTCTAGACCAGCCTGGGCAACATAGCGAGACCTAATCTCTACAAAACAAAATTTTTTTTAATTTAGCCAGGCATGGTGGCATGTGCCTATAGTCCCAGCTGCTTGTGAGGCTGAGGCATGAAGATCCCTTGAGCCCAGGAGTTCAAGGCTGCAGGGAGCTATAATCATGCCACTGCACTCCAGCCTGGGCAACAGAGTGAGACCCTCTCTCTACAAAATAAAAAAAGAATTGTGGAACAAGCATACAAAAATATGTGTATAGTGGTATTTCTGTCTTGCCTATTGTAACATTGAAAGTTTGTAAACAGTCTTGACATTTATCAATGAATAACTGATTAAATAAATTACTATGTCATTTAGGAAAATACTCTTAAATGTATAATACTGAAAAGAACGAGCTACACCTGCTGCCCAGATGGTTCCTAAATAGTTCCTAAATACCATTCTTCACTAAAAGGAACCAGGGCTCCTTAGAGAAATAACTGTTATCAGCATTGTTCAGGGAAGGCACAAGATGAGCCTAAACCATCTTGCTAAGAAAGTAAGGAAGGGCTAGAAGAATGATGAGGATATGTCAAAAGATACAACATCAGGCTTGAAGGTTTGGGCATAAAAGAATGATAGACATATGAATGGCCACCCATAGAATAAAATAGAAATACATGACTCCCTAGTGATACAAATGAATAAATGCAGGAGAGAGTCACAGTCTTTCTTACAGTAGAATCTGAAATAATACATTTAGAAGGAATCATAGAATTAGAAAATCACCACCAGGAAACCACTAGGTAAAGGTCATTACTAGATGCTAAAACTCGTGGGTGAAATTTTGATGAGAAGCAGGATATTTTTATAAAGTATCTTGCCACAAGATACTTACAACTACAGAGGAAGAAATAGTAACTTGCAACGAAGAAACCTGGCAAGTACCACCTTAACCAAGTGAGCAAAGTAAACAACACTAGTAATGTGACAACAGATAGACAGACATCAGGTTCTTTATCAACTTTTTGATGAGGCGACAACAGACAAACCCAAATTGAGGGGCATTCTAAAAAATAACTGATCTTCAAAATGATCTTCAGAAACAGATCTTCAGAAATGTCAAAGTCATAAAAGAGAAGAAAGACTGAGGTTCGTTCTGTTCCAGATTAAAGAGCCATGACAACTAAATGTAGTTCTTGATTCTAGTCTGGATTCTTGAAGGGGAAATTTTTTTTCTCTTTTGCTATAACAGACATTAGTGGGACACTTGGCAAATTGGAATGAACTCTGTAAATTAGATAATATTGTTTTATTTATTTCTGGTTTTGATTATTCTGCTGTAGTTATGTAAGAAAATGTCCGTGTTTTTAGCAAATAGACACTCATTATTTAGAGGTAAAGGAGTATCATATGCAACTCACTTTCAAACAGTTCAGAAAAGGGCAATAATATATATAGAGAGAGGATAAATGCAATAAAATGTTAACATCACTTCGGAAATCTGGAAATTCTTCGTACTATTTTTGTAACTATTCACTAAGGATGAAATTATTTAAAAATGAAATGTTAAACATTTAATATAAAAAAATGAAATAGATGTATATATTCTCTCACACAAAAGTTATCAACAGGATTATTGCCAACTTACAAAAGCAAGTTTCAAAAATAGGATGTATGGTCTGTTCCCATTTTTATAAACAATGGATGGATGTGTGAATGCATATGCATAGAAACCATCTGTTACCAATGTTTATCTCTGGGAGTTGGAGATTATATATTTCTATAATGTTTGGATTTTTTTCTAACAAATATACATTTGTAATCAGGAAGAATAAAAATTTTTGTCCAAAAGGAAATTTGCAAAAAGCCTGCCCAAAATGCTGACCCACTTTCTTGACATATTGTAATTGCAGCACAGCTCTCAACTCAGTAGCCCCATTATCTCACCAGCTCAGTCGCCGGCACCAGTTCAGCTGTCTACCCTGAAAACTGGACGTCCCTCTGGACCACCCACCTTTCTATCAATGCCCCCAATTTATCAGACCTTTTTGTCCGTGGCCAACGGTACAGTGTGCATGAAACTAGTCCACTCCAGCAGAATTTATGAGATATCCATTCCCCAATCACTTGGTTATTACCTAGTAAATTTACCAACACTACCTTTCGGGTGGGCACAGTTCTCACGGCCCTTTAATCCTAGCATCCCTGGGAGGCCAACGCAGCAGGACCTCGTTTGAGGTCAGTTTGAGACCAGCCTGAGCAGGAGCGAGATCCATCTCTACTAAAATAGAAAAAAATTAGCCGGGCATGGTGTTGTGTGCCTGTAGTCCGAGCTACTTGGAGCCTGAGCTGAAGGATTGTTTTGAGCACAGGAATTTGAGGTTGTTGTGAACCTAGGCTAATGCCACAGTACTCTAGCCTGGGCAACAGAGTGAGACTCTGTCTCAAAAAAATATATGTGTGTGTGTGTGTGTGTGTGTGTGCTGTTGTGTGTGTGGATAATAATACTGCTTTTAATTTCCACCAGAGCCTGCATTTTCTCCACTCAGGCATATCTATTTTGTTACCATATACTTTCCTAACTTAATGTTTCATTGCTAATAAGTATTATTTCAGTAATTAACTTATACTCAGTAATTACATGATAGAAGGTTTTAACTTATTCTTAGATCCTTTCCTCCATACGTAGTAATACAGTGTTCTATATTTGTTCTTTATTTTAATTCCTATATTAGAATAATATGTATCAAAATAAAGTTTATTCAGAAAATTATTGAGGACCTACTGTGCCCCTTGGTATACAAAGATGATGCACCCAGCTCAGTATACTCAGAGGAACCAGCTCTCCAGTATACTCAGAGGAAGGCCACAGGCAGATGATTATAAACTAATATGGAAACTTTTCATCTTATTTCTGCAATTTATCCTAAGATGATGCACCACAAAGGTTAATGCACAGGATAGTTTATCCTATAGCAAAAAAATTCAAAACAGCCTAAATATTCATCAGTGAGAATAGTTAAATTATGGTATATCTTATACACAGAAGTACTGTGTAGCTATCTAAAATCATGTTTTAAACAATCATTAAAAGTTAATATTCACCAATGTGATGAGTATTTGGAAAAACAAGTTACACAGACATTTCAAAAAGAAGATATACAGATGTCCATAAGCCCTTGAAAAAGGTAGCTCAACATTATTAATCATTAGGGAAGTGAATATTAAAGTCAGAATGAGATACCACTTAGCACCACTAGTGGCTATAATGATAAAGACCTGACAACACTGAATTTTGAAGATGGAGGAGAAACTAAATTTTCACACATTGTTGGTGGGCATGTAATGATAAAACCATTTTGGGAAAAGGTTGGCAGTTTCTTAAGTTAATCACTTACCATATAACCTAGCTATCCTATACCTGTGTTGGAAGGAAGAAATGAAAACATGTTCATACTTATACAAGAACACTTAAACAACTTTCTGTCGTATAGTCAAACTGGCCAGGCACAGTGGCTCCACCCCTGTAACCAACACTTTGGAACCGGGGCAGAGGCTCCTTGGGCCAGGAGTTTGAGACCAGCCTTGAGTCAACACAGCAAGACCTGTCGTCTCTACAAAATAGAAAATTAGCTGCATGGTGGCATGTACCTGTACTCCCAGCTACTTCAGGAGGCTGAGAGGCAGGAACCACTTGAGCCTAGAGTTTGGGTTGCAGTGGCTATGATAAATCACTGCCTCCAGCCAGGCAACAGAGCAAGACCCCTGTCTCAAGAAAAAGAATAATAACCCAAGCCTGGACATGGCCCACATGTCAATCAGCAGGACACTAAGTTAAGAAGTCGTGATATGTCATTGCGGTGGAATACTACTCAAACGATAAACATGAGCAAAGCAAACTACGTAACACACAACAGCATGATAAATCTCAGAGTCATAGCCCGCTTGTAAGCAAACAACATAGCGGATAAAAAACAATAAATATTGCTATATACTCCTAATGTATAAATCAGCCATAGACAAAGTAACAATTGAACAGACAGTGTTGGGGAACTCATAATGACCTTGTGGAACTGACCGCAAAGGGCTGAAGGGAAATCTTCTAAGGATGGAGACTGGTTTATATTGTATGTTAACTATATCTCGTTTTTTTAAAGAGTTATAAAATACCAAGTATTGAGCCACACACATATATAGAACAGAAGATATGTACCGAAAATGTTAGAAATTGATGGAATTACCATGGTATTTTTTTATTGCTCCTTTGTAATTCTCATTTTCAAATTTCTACAAACCCAATAATAACTTAATATTCTAGAAAATAAGAGCATATACAAAATAAATTGAAACAGTATGTGATGCAGTCTGAGATGAATGCCTCAAGAGGAACGCCTACTGGCCTGTAGAGGGGTCTTTGGTACTGCTGACTATACTTTGTCTCCCATATTTTAAAAATAACACTACATATGACGAAGTCTTAAGTTCCAGGATTTTTAAGCAGCATTCTCTGTATTCCTCTCAATCTAAATTTTGACCTTAATTATTTTCTTTACATTTCATTATTTTTACACTTAACTCTGACTGCTTTTTTATGCATCTTCACACGCTTCACATTGCATCCTGGATTTCAGTACTAAGTCTCCATGTCATATCTGCCCTTCAACTTAGGAAGTTGTGAGTATGTCATGGATGTGTCTTGCCAGGGAGCTGCCCAGCATCTCTACCGGTGATCATCGAAAGGAGTCTTATGGAATGGCAGGAAGTCTGTGCCTTGCTTTTCTCTGTTATGAAGCTCTTGGAGAAGGGGTATAGATTTCCTGAAGATGCGCTAGGTCTTCTATAGTCTACCTACTGATAATCCTACTCCAAACAGAATATGCTTCTGGGGACTTAATGGTTAAAATAAAATGAGAATGTAACACAACTGAAAACCTTATTCTCTGAGATATACATTTTCGCAGTCAGCATTTATTAAGGCCTACTCTGTGATGACTTCAGGCTCTACTAAGTGAAAGAAAAACAATTGCAAGATCTTTTATCCGACTCAACCCTACACTTTTGATTTAGAAGGGCAACTTACCTCATGAAATACACTTAGAAGCTGTATCACTCTTTCTAAGCTAATTCAAATTATAAATACAGATTGTCATTTAAAGAGAGATTAAGAGCAGACTTGGGACCTAGAACATACATATATACCCATTGGTTAAAACTATGAAAATGTATATGAGTATATTAAATGTATACATGCATTTATATTGCATGCATATGTTTATAGCAACTAATAGTGAATTAGGAAAATATAGAGCTTAATGCTTATCCAGAGTTTCATTCTTCCTCTGAAATATAAGTTTTTATTAATAATCATCATAGAAAGATGTAGATTTTCGCATCAGAAGTAGTTAGAATGAGTGTTACAGTTTTTTGGTGGATTTCATATAGAATGTTAGGATTTGGTGTCATAGTTTTCTTAGATTCTTTCTCTTTCATATCTTCAATTTTTTTAACATTTCATTTTCATCCACTTTTTAAAATTTACTTTTTTTAATAGATAATATATTGACATGGTTCAAAAATTAACAAATAGTTTTAAAGTATACAGAGAAGTTTCTCTCCATCCTAACCCCTGTCCACCTAGTTCCTACCACTCACCCTCCTTCATAACCACTGTTATCAGTCATTAATCTTTTCAGAAGTTTACCCCAGCCCTTTAAAGAATATGTGAAATTTTAATTGTTTTTTAAAATATGTCAGTTACCTATATACTTGTTTCATTCTGCCAAACGTGTTTCCCCTGTTCATCTTAATTATTTTGAACAATTTAGAAAACTCTGGCAAGTACTTTTTAACTGAGGAGAGAAAGATGTAAAAATGTTTTTTATTTCAGGAGATGCCAGGTATCCATTACTTGGGCAACCACTGCAGTACAACTCTCCTGCTGTTCTGCACGGACACATTCCAAACCAACAGGTATGAAAGGCCACTGTCTGACCTCCTAGGCTTTGTTGCAGAACATCATACTTCTGCTGCTGACAGTGTAGGGGGCACCTCTGAGCCCACCTGTTGGTGCTACCCAAGGTGAGCTCTATGCCTCAGCCAGCTGGCTTATTCAGTTCATCACTAGCTCCATTGGCAACAGTCCAAGAGAATAAGGTAGTGCTCTGCTTGGCGGAGCAGTAATTCACTAGTGCCACCCAAAGATGGGTGGTGTCTGGGATTTGGGGCACCCTTGCAAATGAAGGATCGTCAGTGAGTAATTGGTCATCGTCAGGGGCAGAGTGCCCCTGCTGCAGAGGCAAAATTCAGAAGGCCCCGGGACTGGTTCATTTCTGCCAAAGTGCAGAATCCAGATTAAGTGTGTATATATGTTAAATTTTTTAAACGTTACAGACACATTTTTCAGCACTATTAACCTTATTTCTGAACTATTTGTGGGTGTTCAGAGTCAGCCTGGCAGCAGACATGGAAACCGAGGAAGAAGACAAGCTAAAAAAGCTGCATCCACGGACCTTGGAGCAGGAGAAGCAGGTGTGTCCCTGAGGGGCAGCTGGATGTGGATCTACAAACTGGTGACAGTCTTTAAAAATAAACCACCGCACAGAAATGGGTTTTCATGAAGGAATAGGAAATTTTGTCATCTCTACTTTAGGGTTCTTCTACTCAGTAGCCTGAGCGTGGTTAGAGCAAGTGCTGTTATTCAGTTCAGAAAGTGTTTGCCTAAGATCACACTCCTAATTTAGAGAAGCCACTGCACAGTGCTGCATTTTTTATGTGCAACTCTCAGCAAAGACTAAAGTCAGTGGCTTAACAATATGAGCTCTCTATTGCCAAGGTGCCTTCCAAAAAAAAAAATATATATATATATATATATGGTCTATACTCCTTGCCTAAGTGGAGGGCACGGGGTAGGAAGGATTTGAAAGATGGCTCTAACAATTAAGATTTTGTAGATTTGAGTGGTTTCAAAAAATCTGTTTCTTATGTCTTATTTGGTATTTGCAGTACTTTTTTACCCAGCTTTTTTGGTAACAGGGATATATTAATTCTATACTTTTTTCATTCTAGTTGTTGGGAAGGTCTTGGAAATAACTGAACTACCAGATGGAATAACTCGCATGGAAGCCGAGAAGCTTTTTGGGGAACTCTTTAAAATTGGCGCCAAGATCCGGTGGCTCCGGGACCCCCAGTCCCAGCCCCAGCTGCGACGTCACCCCCTCTGCTGTGGCAGTGGGGACAACACTGTCAACCCTGAACGCTCCAAACCCAGTGACTTGGCCTCCACATACACCGTCTTAGCCACGTTCCCCTCCATTTCAGCTGCACAGAATGCACTGAAGAAGCAAATTAATTCAGTTAACAAGTTTAAGCTGAGAACAAGCAAGAAGCACTATGACTTTCAAATTTTGGAAAGGGCAAGTTCTCAGTAACAGAGCCACCTTTGGACCCTTCACCTCTGATTCCCCTGCCCTCTCCCATGATTGGCTTGATATTTGGAGCTTCTGTTAACATTATAGAGACTCCTAGGATGTGTGGTCATGGCGTTATAGCTTGCGAAGAAATGCCAGTGATCCAGCAAAGGGGCGGCGGGTGTGGGGAAGATACACATTTCACCCCACATGACTATAGGAATCACATCAGAATGATACAGAGTTAGCAGGTTTTTCTAAGGAAATGCTGTTCAAATGCCTCCTAACTTTTGTAGTTATTTTGTTTTATATTTCTGAATTCTTGTATCAGATCCAAAGCTCTATTGTACAGCAAATTATCCTTCAAAATGATTATAACCAGTTGCAACCTGTATTTCTTTTTGCAGCCAGCACAATGTGACCCAACTTAGAATTTGGGGGGAAAAGAATGCAGGGGTGGAATAACTAAGTCAAAACCATGTTTTATCTTCTTCTGGGAGTTAGAGGTGCTAAGGAGAGCCCACAAATAGAAGATTACTCTTCCCCTGAGTCTCTAAACACAGAAATAATTTCCAGAAAATACAGAACTCTTCCCCCACAGGGTTCTTTCCTTATACATTTAGGTAGTATGAACATTAAGTATAAAGTAAATTATGTTCTTAATGCCTCTTAATCAAACCACTTAGATTCAAAGGGGAAAAGGAATCATTTTAGGCAGGAAAATATTTCCTTTTTTTTTTTTTTTTTTTTTAATGTGTCCCTCCAGTAACTAAATGCCACTTTATTTGCATTCTCCTCCTTGTGGATTTTTTGTCAGCTAAGGAAATGCGTTTGATGAGTGCTGGAAACTTCTTAAGTGGTTTACAATTTGTTTTCATTGTTTGCAGCGGATCACTGGACATCAAAGATTCATTGCACTTATGAACAAGGAACCTTTTTTTCAATCTCTGTGTAATTTGCAAGGCTGTACAATGTGTGCTGATGCAAGCCTTTTTCAGTTCAAGAGAATAAATGTTTACAAATATAAGCCCACTTTGTTTTTGTTTTAATCAAATCACCTTTTAAATGAGTGTCAGTTTTCAAGACTTAATAACCTGTCTTGAAGATTTAAGTCAATTTCAGATTGCCAGAAGATAGAAAACAGTAAATCTTATTTTATAAATGTCCTCAACACGTTCCTTTCTTGGTGGGAGTAATTCCTAGGGGGTATGATTCATGTTTTTCTTCTCTCATAAAGTTATCAGCTGTAATTTTGGAATATGAACATACTTAGGCAACTAAAAATAGAACATTATGTCTGGCTAGGTAATTTGTTTTTAGCTTATATATCACATACCCAATTGCCCAGTTTAGCTCAAATGCTTTATAGACATCTTTCCCCATTGGTTAGCCAAGCAAAGTCAAACTGCTAGGAAATCTAAAAGGGGGCATCTGCCAGCTGCAGCTTGCCTGGAGCCTGGTTTGCTTCCAGCCCAAACTAGGGCTTCACTGTGAAACTGAGAGCGCCAGGAGTTAACCGGACTCCAGGGCAGATGTGCCCGCACTCTAGAGCATTTGCGAAGTCCCACTTGACTCCAGGGACTACCAGGCCTCCACAAGAGCTTGCATGTCCCAATTATGAATATTGTACTCCTGGAATCTGAAGTTGGAGCTGCCTTAGAACTGTCAGATTAAGGAACCATACCCAAGGGGAAGGAGTAAGAGTGAGGACTGTGAAAATCACTCACTTCCAAGGCCTGGTGAATTTTTATTATCTTTGACCTACAGAAGAGTCAAAGATGGAGAGGACACTCATTAGGGCCAGCAATGCAGCAACAGGTAATCAAATGAGATGGAAACAAAAAAACCACAACCTCGCAGTTTCTTCAAATTAATTTCTCTGAATATTCTCTTTAACTCCTGCAGTAGGAATTCTGGTAAACCCAAGTTTTTGCCTTAGACTCTTGGTTCACCCTGTAGGAGTTGAATACTGTGGAAAGGAAATAGGTGATGTGCTACCGCTAAAAAAAAATCAAAGGCTATTGTAGAGTCAACTCTTAGCCACCACCACCTTATTCCCTGGCAGTCACATGGGAATAATAATGAAGTTGCCAATCCCCCCACCATTAGAAAAATATGCACACATTCCATGGTCTGTATGTTTCCCTGTTCATTTTGATCTTTTAGAATCTGACTTCACCTATATAAAATAGTGAAGTGCCAGCTACTTACCAGGCCAAGGCAGGAGGATTGCTTGAGACCAGCCTGAGCAACATAATAAGACCCAGTCTCTATAAAAAATAAAAATTTAAATAAATTTTATGAAATAAATGTTATGTCGCTTCCAAGATAAAGTGAAATATATATATATATATATATTAATATAAAAATAGTGGGAGGTAGAAGCACACAAAAGAGGCATTTTAGATGTCATTTGGCTCAGATTTGAAACCTTTCTAAGGACAGCCACAGGCCTGGCAATAATCCTTATCATGGGTTTTCCCAGAGAGAGCACTGACCATATTTAGGGACAGATGTTACATTTACCAATAAAGTCTTTCCTCTGCTAGTATTCACAGGTCTAGCAGCCCTTTCTCTGTGCATGATAGAGGTTACTTTGTAACTTTCTGTCCATTTTTGTTTTTGTATTAGAAAACTGAAAATACAGCTTGGAGATTTTTTTTTTAACTTTTTCTATGAAAGGAGGGAGAATGAGAAAAGAGGTTCAATTTCTTTTCCTTTAAGTCTTACTCCCTTACCCTGAGTGAAAGCAGTGGCATCGTAGCTCACTGGAGCCTCAAACTTCTGGGCTCAAGCAATCCTCTTGCCTCAGCCTCCTGAGTAGATGAGACTACAGGCACATTCCACCACACCCAGCTAATTTTTCTGTTTTTAGTAGAGATGGGGGTCTCTTGCTCAGGGTGGTCTCCAGTTCCTGAGCTCAAACAATCCACCCGCCTCAGCCTCCCGGAGTGCTAGGATTACAGGCTTGAGCCACCATGCCCGCCCACAGCTTATGGTTTTTTAAGCCTTTGGTTCACAAAGAACATAGGTATATTGGGTTCATGTTTGTGGATCTAAAGTACAAATTGTGTTTGCCATGGTACCAAAAGTCATTAAAAATAATTAGCTTGGCATCAGAGCTGGCAACAAAAGGATCTGAACCTTCCCCCAAGCTAGGAAAATTATCCTGCTCACACTAAGGAGGGACCTGTAGCCTGTGAATAGAGTGGAAACACAGGTCTCTGAATTGAACCCACAATTCCTGAGTGGCTTGGGAAGGGTCAAAGCAGCACATCTGCAGCTACCTCCAGAAACAGCTGAGTTGGATTCTCCACGTGTCGTCAGCAACAAAAAATGCAAATATGAAGCTTCAGCAGAGGCCAGGACTGCTGTGTCTCAGGCCTGTCATCCCAACACTTTAGGAGGCTAAGGAGGGAAGATCACTTGAGCCCAGGAGTTCGAGGCCAATCTGAGCAACAAAGCAAGGCCCTTTTGTGACAAAAAATTTAAAAATTAGCTGGACGTGGTAGTATACACCTATAGTCCCAGCTACTTGGGAGGCTGAGGCAAGAAGATTGCTTGAGCCCAGGAGTGCAAAGTTGCAGTGAGCTATGGTTGTGGCCTGCACTCTAGTCTCCACAATATAGCATGACCCTGTCTCTAAAAAAAATATAAAAACTTCTGCAGAGACCAGATCTCGCAATCCCAGCCCACTGCCTGCCTAACAGATCATTAGATTTTTTTTTTCCATTTTCTGAAGTACCGTCAGCCCTCCATGGATTCCACATCCATGGATTCAACAATCCATGGATCCGAAGTATTTTTTAATTGCATCTGTACTGAACATGTACAGTTTTTTTCATTATTCGCTAAACAATAATACAGTATAGCAACTATTTACATGGTTGTAAATATGGCATTTACATTGTATTAAGTATTATAAGTATCTAGAGATGGTATAAAGTATACAAGAGGATGTGTTTAGGTTATATGCAAATACTATATATACCATTTGTATAAGGGACTTGGGCATCATGGATTTTGGTATCTGCTGGTGTCCTGGAACCAATCCCGCACAATACCAAGGGATGACTGTACTGTTTCAGTTATCTCTTCTTGCTTAACCAACCACCCAGAATTTAATGGTTTAAAGCAGAAATTTGAGCAGGGCTCGAAGAGGATGGCTTGGCTCTTCCCTGACCTGATATCGGCTGCCCTTTGCTGGGCTGGGCTGGGCTGGGCTGGGCTGGAAGATCCAAAGTGGCCTCATTCACATGACTGGTATCCCACATGTGTGGGGTCAGGTCCAAAGTTCTGGTTCCCTTGAATCCTCTCCTCACCATCATCTATAGTCCTTATTTTTTCTCATCCAAACCATTGCAACAACTTTTTGTCAAGTAGAGCATCTTAGAACTTGAACTTCCTTGCTTACAAACCTTTAATAGTTTCTATTTTCCATAAGACGAAGCTCAAATCCCATATAATATGACTCTTTTGGTCTCATGTCCCACATTCTGCTACTTCCTCCATCCCTACTCTGTATTCTGACTAAATCACACTTCTTGTTTCTCAACCACACCACATGCTGTCATGCCTGTTACTCAAGTGCCTTCACTTATGCCAAATGAAGGCCCATCCCTTTTCTGCTTAGAAAATGTCTACAGGACCTTCAAGACCTAGTTTGAATGACTCTGCCTCTGCCTCTGCATAGCCTTTTAGGCTTCCTAGCCTCCTGCAGAACTCATCCCCTTTCATGACACTCCATATGACCATGGATTCTAGGACCTGTTGACTTGTTTCTTTTAATTATACTTATGTGTTCGTGCATCTGTCTCCATGGGGCTTTATTAGTCAGGCAATGAGGAAGCTTTTGTACACATTATGTACAATATGTACACATTTAAATGTCTTGTGTGTCTAACCAATAGCCACACTCTGTAGTTAGCAGTGTGTTATAAATACAGATAAGTCTCTGGACTAAGATCCTGAGGATGGCACAGTTCCTATATCATGATGTCAAATCCATCCTTTTGGCTAGACAGTTTTACCACATGCTTTTCTGGCGCTACAATGGGAGCTTCCAATGAGCAAGTTTTACCTGCAAAAAACCAGGGGGGTGGGGGGAGGGAAGCCTTAAATAATGACATTTATTATTCTATATAACACAATGTCTAAGGTGGGGCCCTTCCAGGATTGGTTAATGCAGCAGTTCAAATACACCACCAAGGACCCAGGTTCCTTACACCTTTCTACTCGGCCGTCTTGGGCATATTGGCTTGTCCTTTGGGGCTGATTTCTCTCATAGCTACTGCTGTACTGGGTGTCACCTGCAGGTGGCACCATTTGGAAACAGTAATGGGAACAACTCTGCCTTTATGGCTTCCACAGTTCCCAGCAGATTACTCTTCACCCCTCATTGACTAGAATCATATCATATGCCTCTATCTAAAGAGAGTATCTGGTAAGGGGAATGAGAGCACTATCAAGATTTGCCTACTTAGGTGCAGAGGTACTTAGGAGGTTCCTGTGAAGGACAAGGCCACTTGAAGAAGGCCAATAAAAACAAAGTTGTTAGCAAAGAAGAAAGAAGGGTAGGTGGCTGTAAGGTAAGCAATCACTTCTTTACCTCCAGTGCTTACTGTGGTACCCAATACATAGTAGGTGCTCAGCAAATGTTTACTGAATGAATAAATGAATGAAGTACCAGTGCATTGTGCCATGACCTCTGAGTTTCTTAATGCATTCCTTTTTATCCTAACTACCACTCCTCCAGTCTAACCCCTTAGTATTCACTCCTTGATGACTTCAGTAGCTTCCTAACGGGTTTACTTACCTGCAATTTCCCCTTCCCTCTCTCCACTTCACCAATCTAAATCCTGTGCATACTTCCATCCATGGAGACTTTCTTGATTACTGAAGTCTACTAAAATAAAAGCCATAATATCTAATGCTTATTGAACACTGATGTGCTAGGCATTGTACTAAGGGTTTTATTTATGATGCTTAAAGTTACAAAAACCCAACTCAAAGAGGCTAAAGCAACCAGGGGAATTTATTAGTTCACTGTGATTGAAAAGAGCAGGGAAAGAGGCTTCAGGTATGGCTGGACCCAGGAGATACTCCATATCATCAGGATACTCTCTGTCTTCGTCTGCAGGGTCTTCTGTCCTCTGCATTGGCTTTAAATAGACAGACTATTAGGGAACAAGATAACCACCAGCAGACCCAGCTTCTATCTTGTTTTCTAGCAGCTCCAGTGAAAGAGAATGGCCCTCTTCCAAAAATTCCTACAAAATTCCTGGAATTGTCACTTGTCTGGCTTGGGTCAGAGGCCCTCACTGAACCTATCATGGTGCTCAGAAAAAAATGGGTTTGCCAACCTGGCTCCTGAGCTCACTTCTGGAGGACAAGGATGAGGGCGACCCACACAGACTGAGTGGCTACTCGAAGGAAGACTGAAATACTGTGATCACAAGGTGGAAGAATGAACACTGTACAGGCAGAAATACTAGATATCTATACTGCATATTAAATAACAAGATGATAAATCATTTCATCAGGTTTTAAAACTCCAGAGACTGCCCTCAACTCTCTATCCCTTTCTTAATTTCATACAACACGGTTTTTACTATACGATGTGACTTATTTGGATTTGATCATGTGTGCCTAGTACAGTCAGTTATCTTTCATGTCACTATTTTATCTCAACTGCTGAAGCTATGCTATCCAAAATGCCAGCCACTGACCACATGTAGCTAAATTAATAAAATCGAAATTCAGTTTCTCAGTTGCACTAGCCACATTTCAAGTGCTCAACAGCCACATGTGACTAGCGGCTATCATATTGAACAGAGTAGACATAGAAGAGTCCCTTCACTGCAGAAATATAGTCTTGTCTCCATATTTTAAAATAACACTACATATGACTAAGTCTTAAGTTCCAGGATTTTTAAGCAGCATTCTCTGTATTCTGCTCATCTAAGTTTTTGAGCCTTAATATTTTCTTTACATTTCATTATTTTACACTTAACTCTGACTGCTTTTTTTATGCATCTTCACACTTCACATTGCACTCCGGATTTCAGTACTAAGTCTCCATGTCTATCTGCCCTTCAACTTAGGAAGTTGTGAGTATGTCCTGATGTGTCTTGCCAGGGAGCTGCCCGCATCTTCACAGTGATCATCAGAAAGGAGTCTTATGGAATGGCAGGAAGTCTGTGCTTGCTTTTCTCTGTTATGAGCTCTGGGAGAAGGGGTATAAGATTTCCTGAAGATGCCTAGTCTTCTACTAGTCTACCTACTGATAATCCTACTCCAACACAGAATGTGCTAAATCTGGGCTTAATGGTTAAAATAAATGAGAATGTAACACAACTGAAAACCTTATTCTCTGAGATAACATTTTTGCAGTCAGCATTTATTAAGCCTACTCTGTGATGACTTCAGGCTCTACTAAGGAAGAAACAATTGCAAGATCTTTATTCCGACTACCCTACACTTATTGATTTAGGAAGGGGATACTTCTCATGAATGACACTTAGAAGCTGTATCATCTTTCTAAGCTAATTCAAATTATAATACAGATTGTCATTTAAAGAGAGATTAAGAGCAGACTTGGACTAGAACTACATATATACCCATTGGTTACTATGAAATGTATATGAGTATATTAATGTATACATGATTATATTGCATGCATATGTTATAGCAACTAATAGTGAATAGGAAAAATAAGCTAATGCTATCCAGAGTTTCATTCTTCTCTGAAATATAAGTTTTTATTAATAATCATCATAGAAAGATGTAGATTTCGATCAGAAGTAGTTAGAATGAGTGTTACAGTTTTTGGGGATTTTCATATAGAATGTTAGGATTGGTGTATAGTTTTCTTAGATTCTTTCACTTTCATATCTCAATTTTTAACATTTCATTTCATCCACTTTTTAAAATTTACTTTTTAATAGATAATATATTGACATGGTTCAAAAATTAACAAATAGTTTTAAAGTATACAGAGAAGTTCTCTCCATCCTAACCCCTGTCCACCTAGTTCCAACTCACCTCCTTCATAACCACTGTTATCAGTCATTAATCTTTTCAGAAGTTTACCCCAGCCCTTAAAGAATATGTGAAATTTTAATTGTTTTTAAAATTGTCAGTTACCTATTACTTGTTTCATTCTGCCAACGTGTTTCCCCTGTTCATCTTAATTATTTTGAACAATTTAGAAAACTCTGGCAAGTACTTTTTAACTGAGGAGAGAAAGATGTAAAAATTTTTATTTAGGAGATGCCAGGTATCCATTACTTGGTCAACCCACTGCAGTAAGACTCTCCTGCTGTTCTGCACGGACACTTCAAACCAACAGGTATGAAAGGCCACTGTCTGACTCCTAGGCTTTGTTGCAGAACATCATACTTCTGCTGCTGACAGTGTAGGGGGCACCTCTTGAGCCACCTGTTTGGTGCTACCCCAAGGTGAGCTCTATGCCTCAGCCAGCTGGCTTATTCAGTTCATCACTAGCCCATTGGCAAACAGTCCAAGAGAATAAGGTAGTGCTCTGCTTGGCGGAGCAGTAATTCACTAGTGCCACCCAAAGAGGGTGGTGTCTGGGATTTGGGGCACCCTTGCAAATGAAGGATCGTCAGTGAGTAATTGGTCATCGTCAGGGGCAGAGTGCCCCTGCTGCAGAGGCAAAATTCAGAAGGCCCGGGACTGGTTCATTTCTGCCAAAGTGCAGAATCCAGATTAAGTGTGTATATATGTTAATTTTTAAACGTTACAGACACATTTTCAGCAGCCTATTAACCTTATTTCTGAACTATTTGTGGTGTTCAGAGTCAGCCTGGCAGCAGACATGGAAACCGAGGAAGAAGACAAGCTAAAAAAGCTGCATCCACGGACCTTGGAGCAGGAGAAAGCAGGTGTGTCCTGAGGGGCAGCTGGATGTGGATCTACAAACTGGTGACAGTCTTTAAAATAAACCACCGCACAGAAATGGTTTTCATGAAGGATATAGGAAATTTTGTCATCTCTACTTTAGGGTTCTTCTACTCAATAGCCTGAGCGTGGTTATAGCAAGTGCTGTTATTCAGTTCAGAAAGTGTTTGCCTAAGATCACACTCCTAATTTAGAGAAGCCACTGCACAGTGCTGCATTTTTTATGTGCAACTCTCAGCAAAGACTAAAGTCAGTGGCTTAACAATATGAGCTCTCTATTGCCAAGGTGCCTTCAAAAAAAATATTATATGTGTATATATATATATGGTCTATACTCTTGCCTAAGTGGAGGGCAAGGGGTAGGAGGATTGAAAGATGGCTCTAACAATTAAGATTTTGTAGATTTGAGTGGTTTCAAAAAATCTGTTTATGTCTTATTTGGTATTTGCAGTACTTTTTTCCCAGCTTTTTTGGTAACAGGGATATATTATTCTATACTTTTTCATTCTAGTTGTTGGGAAGGTCTTGAAATAACTGAACTACCAGATGAATAACTCGCATGGAACCGAGAAGCTTTGGGAATCTTTAAATTGGCGCCAAGATCCGTGGCTCGGGACCCCACGTCCACCCAGCTGCGACGTCACCACCACTCGCTTGTGGCAGTGGGACAACACTGTCAACCCTGAAACCTCCAACCCAGTGACTTGCCTCCCATACCTGAACATTAGCACATAATCCACTCCATTTCAGACTGCACAGAATGCATGAGAACAATAAAGCAGGAATAAGTCATATAAGACTTCCATATGGAAAGCCAATTCTTACACTAGAGCACTTAACAGTAAGCACTTTGGACCCTTCACTCTGATTCCCTGACTCACCATAGATCATGGCATTGGTTGACTGAACTTATATGAGCTCCTGATTTGTACAGGCGTATAGCTCATCAAGAAATAGGATCTCAGTGACTCATCACCCGCAACACGGCAGAGCGAGGATAGGGACAGAACCACATATTTCACACCACATGACTATAGGATCACATCGATGATACAAGAGTAGCAGTTTATTTCTAAGGAAATGCTGTTCAAATGCCTCCTCAACATTTTGAATATTATTCTTGTTTATAATTTCGAATCTTGTATCAGATTCAAAGCTTATTGTACAGCAAATTATCTTCAAATGATTAATAACCAGTTGCAACCTTAATTTCTTTTGCAGCCAGCACAATGTGACCCAACTTAGAGATTTGGGGAAAAGAATGCAGTGGGGATAACTAATCAAAACCATGTTATCTTTTCTGGGAGTTAGAGGTGCTAAGGAGAGCCCACAAATAGAAGATTCTCTTCCCTGAGTCTCTAAACACAGAAATATTCAGAAAATACAGAACTCTTCCCACAGGGTTTCCTTGAATACATTTAGGTAGTATGAACATTAAGTTAAGTACATTATGTTCATTAATGCCATTAAATCAAACCACTTAGATTCAAGAGGGAAAGGATCATTTTAGGCCAGGAAAATTTTCCTGTTTTTTTTTTTTTTAATTGTGTCTCCAGTTCTAGCCTTTATTTGCATTCTCCTCCTTGTGGGATTTTTGCAGCTAAGGAAATGCGTTTGATGAGTGCTGGAAACTTCTTAAGTGTGTTACAATTTGTTTTCATTGTTTTGCAGCGGATCACTGGACATCAAAGATTCATTGCATTATGAAAAGGAACCTTTTTTCAATCTCTGTGTATTTTGCAAGGCTGTAAAATGTGTGCTGATGCAAGCCTTTTTCAGTTCAAAAGAATAATGATTTACAAATATAAGCCACTTTGTTTTTTGTTTTAATCAATCACCTTTTAAATGAGTGTCATTTTCAAGACTGTAATAACCCCCCCTGTCTTGAAGATTAGTCATTTCAATTGCAGAAGATACGAAAACAGTAAATCTTATTTTAAATGTCCTCAACACGTTCTTTTTGGTGGGAGTAATTCCTAGGGGTAAGATTCTTTTCTTCTTCTCTCTACCAAGTTATATCCGCTTATTTTACACTTAGGCACTAAAATAGAACATTATGTCTGGCTAGATATTTGTTTTAGGCTTATAATATCACAATAACCCAATTCAGTTTGTCAAAAGTCTTTATAGACATCTTCTCCCACATCTAGTTACGCAAGCCAGTCAACTGCTCGAACTCTAAAAGCGGGCATCTGCCCGCTGCAGCTTGCCTGGAGCCTGGTTTGCTTCCGCAACACTA